ATCACTAGGCTACCTGGTCGGTAGGCCCAGGCAAGTATCGGATATAGTCCAGGGACTATATCACCTCTTCCCAAAGTAGTTGACTAGCAGAAGAACAGCAGAGACGGATCCCAGGGTGTGACAAATTCTTTCTAACTATAGGCTATCTGATGGATCTTTTATACTACTAGAATAGGGGCTATCTAATGATATCTACATATACTAATATTAGGGGTAAGAGGTTAGATCCTTCTAGAGTAGTGAGATCTAATGCTATAAAGGGAAGGTTAAAGTAATATAGAAAGAATAAGTGAGAAGGGAAGAATAAGCAAATCATCTAAAACAGGTAAGCAGTAAGTTATATCAACACATATATACTTATATAGTACCTCTTTAAGGATATCAAATACTATATAGTAGGGATATCGAATACTATAGTATCGATGTCAAATACCATATAGTATTGATATTGAATACTATAGACTAAGGATATCGAATTCCCATATAGTAGGGATATCGAATACCATAGTATCGATCTTGAATACTATAGACTAAGGATATCGAATACTACCTATATAGTAGGGATATCGAATACTATAGTATCAATGTCGAATTCTCATATAGTAAGGATATTGAATACTATATAGTAGGGATATTGAATACTATAGTAAGGATATCAAATACCATATACTAAGGATATCGAATGCTATATACTAATGATTTCAAATACTTAGTAGGGATATTGAATGCTATATAGTAGGGATATCAATATATATATTTTAAACACGCAGTACCTATGGTGGGGTTCTGTCAACCATATCTTCTCATAGTGGTATGATATCGGTACACTCAGATATTGAGGATATTCTAATTGCCAATTTCTGGTTTGACCAATCAGATCATATAGATTCTACTATGGTTTTAACATGCTATTTACAGAGATTTTACAGAGTTTTCTACTATCCTTACTAATATTGCTTTCCTATCTATAAATATAAGGTTAGATAGATAGATTAGAAGAATCAAACCTTCATTCCTTTACTAAGTATTTGAAATCCTTAGTATATGAGAATTCAACATCAATACTATAGTATTCAATATCCCTACTATGGTATTCAATATCCCTACTATATAGGTAGTATTCGATATCCTTACTATATGAGAATTCGACATCGATACTATAGTATTCAATATCCCTACTATATGGGAATTCGATATCCTTAGTCTATAGTATTCAATATCGATACTATATGGTATTCGATATTGATACTATGGCATTCGATATCCTTACTATATAGTATTCGATATCCCTACTATATAGGTAGTATTCGATATCCCTACTAAGTATTCGAAATTCTTAGTATATAGTATTAGTATTCGATATCACTATTGTGGGTGTGTGGTGTTCCCTGCCTATGGCGTGGGTGTATGTAAAGATTGTAAAATTTCAATGTGTCCTTTTTGTACAAATAGTCCGCCGTATTAGTTGAAGAGGATTTCTCACTATCTACTTATCCCTCTATTCACTGATTGATTGAATATATGAGACATACTTATCTGCTGTACATCAACTGAGCTTTCCCAACAATATGAGATTTCGAGTCGGCCTCTACAGTATGAGACCTCATCACAATGTCATCCTGATATGCGGGGTTCAAGCTGACAGCCAGCTACAGGGTGGATTCCCATGATCGGGTACCACCATATTATAATGATTGTCTGTTCAATCACAATTATCCTCCTATGTAAGACATATACACAGTGTGCTTGTTCTCTTCATTCTATTATTTCATTTTCACCCCCTGTTAAACGCAGTGCTCACAATCATCAGCCATCCTTCTCGCCGGATGCACCTCCTCCAACGGCCTGAGCAATGTCTATCTGGTCTCCCTCCAGTACAAAAACACCAGCACCCAGAGCCCAAGCGACCCCGTGCTGGTCAACCCCGGCATTGCAGAAAAAGTCTACAATGTGTCGCAGTCCCGCCGGAGCATGATCCGGGAAGTGCGCGCGGGGTACATGGGTCTCTGCTTGACCCTGAGCGACGGGGCGCGCTTCTGCTCCGGTAGTGCTGCGGCGCTGGCCAGCATGGTCAAGGCGGAGGGAGTGCAGGGCAGCAACGACACTGCCACGGCCGATCCGCTGAATCTGCTTTGGATTGTGAAGAATTTCAAAGAGACGATTGTTTTTGATGGGTTGATGTAAGTTGTGTCATGTCGTATTGTCTACACGTATGGATTAATGAAGAACAGATTCATCGCGGTCGTCCTGACCTTCCTTTGCTTTATTCTCTTGTCGACGTTTCCGGGATGGCACGAGGAAATCGACGAGGAGGGCTCGGAGCGCGAGGTCAAGCCTTTCCCTTCTCGGGCGGTGTCGCAGGCTGCTCTGGGGTTGAGTACGCTGGGGTTTATATTCGGACTGGTCTCCATTCTCTGGCAGCATGTCAATAGTAGTGCTGCGGGGACCATGTCCGAGAGTCTCACATATGGGGCCATCGAGAGCCATGTTGGCACGGCGGCGATGATTCTCGGGTGGGCGGCTGTGGTCTGCTTGGGGATTGTTGCGCTGGCATTGCTGGTTATGATCTTGAGTATTCGCATTATTACGATGTTGTCTGATGACGAGTAGGTCTTTTGAATGGTTGCTTTGTGTTTGGTCTGAGGAATGAGAACAAGAGCACTATAGGTATAATACGGGATGTTTCCCGGGCTATCAAAGATTATACGTACGCAAAGGGCGCGTGCTCGTAGGCTGTACGACTGGCTCTGCAGAGACGGATGTCGCATAGGAATGATAGGAAGTGTCGCTTCCGCCCCGAAAAACTGTAGCCCGAGAATAAACGAATCTCATCCCAAGAAACCCAATGCCCGTGACCAAAACAACCAGGATGGCCGCAGTCAAGCCGGCCTTAATACCCGACGCCAGTGGACGCGTCCATATCAGTGCGAGCGGGATTGCGACGAAGGCTGCTATTCCAACGGCCCAGAGAAGCAACAAGCGGGTTGTTGGGGGAATCCGCCTCAGCAGGTGCATAACGAGTCTCGGGAAAGCATAGCGAAAGTCGGGATCGGACCTTCGCCAGTATGGTACGCCCACAAGGCCGAGGAGGGCAAGTATGATCACGAGGGTAACTGTGCCCTGCACACCTCGGTCTATATCCCGAGTCCAGAGCACGGCGATAGGTGCGACTGCAACAATGCCGACAAGCAGCGTGAAACTGATGGGGAATCCGACCACCTTCCACAGCTCGATCCCAGCCTTGCGACCATTCCTGCCTATCCATGCCCAGGTTGCTCTGATGCCCCGCTTGAGTGTGCTTCCGAACCATTGTAAGAGTAACAGCATCGACAGAGACCGCACCTGCACTGGAAGCCCGCGTTGCTCCGCGTATCGTCTGACATCCAGCTTCACACTCTGTTTCAGATTCCCCAGCCATTGACTGCGCATCGTGAGCCGCATCAGGTACGCGAACATTGTAACGGTGATTGCGACAACGAAGAAGTTCCACAGAGGAGCCGAGTCTTTGAATGGCTCGATCTGCATCCCAAACACAGATGTTGAAAACGATAGCGGAATGAAGATAAACGCCAGCTCGGTGAGGCGCGTCACGGCGTGCGCCTCGTCGATGGAGCGTCGACTGTCCAGGAGACCCATATTGGATGTCAAGGATGAAGACGCATGCCGGAGTCTGGTGAGCATCTGGTTGATTTCCTCGAAGAGATCTGACACGTTTCGTATGATATCGGGGGTGTCGTCTGCGGTTGCCGGAAATGTATCGGCTGGGGGTGTGATGCCAAAAAAGGCCAGAAAGCTCTTGGTAGAGGTTTTAAGTTCCAAGAGCTCTCGCTCAGCTTTACTGATGAGCTGACGCCACAATGCCAGTCGGTCTTCCATCTTCGTGTCGTCAAGGATATCGACCTCCATGTCGTTCAAGATCTGGTTGAGCACCTGGAGCAAAGTCGAGGTGTCTTGACCAATGATCTCGAACAGCGTATCTAGTAGGCTAACGGGCGTTGTCTGTCCGTCTACGAGATCATGAATTGTCTGCCGAGTGGACCTAGTCTCGTTGAGTTCATCCTGGAGAGTGTCCAGGGAATCGCCTGTCAGAAAGGCCTTCTCGAGATCAATTGTAATGGTCTTTCGAGGAGCCATCTGCTTGACCAGAACCTGGAAGCTTGTCTTCAACTTCACCTTCCTATTATCCACTTCTGGTCTGCGTCGTCTGAGCAGCCAGTCCAATACCGGACGTGTTGTCGTCTCCCGCCGTGGGTTTTCGATTGGAATCGCAAACGCCTCGACGGCATCATCACCCTCAATTATCAGGACTGGTCGAGTTCCCGTTTCGTCATGATTTCCAGTACCATGCTCATCATGGTCACTTCGATCGTCCACAGTGACCTTTGGGATCTGGAGTGTGAAATCATGGCTGATGCTAATCGTCGGTAGAGGATCAAGCAACACGACAACTACAATCCGGTCAGTCTTTCCAGATGTCAACCTTCCAGTCGAGGTAGTCGCGCACCATTCTCATAGTCCATATTCTCAGCATTCCTCCTCCAAATCGACGCCCGTTCCACCAACCCAAACTCCCTCGTCTCATTCGCCGTCCCGCGCGGATCAACGCGCAAATCCCACTCGGAGCGAAATATATTCGTCTCCGCTTTGAGACTAATACTCGAGCTGCCGGAGATGTACTCCAACCCATCACCGTCCAAATCAAGCAGGTCTTCCCGGTCGCGGTTGGAAAATAACGGTGGACGACGATACATGGGCCGAAACCACTGGATCGACACATACGACTTGTCCAGACCAGCCGTCTTCCATGACCGCGCCGGCGGGTCATCATACTGCGCGCCACCGTACCCAGAGTTCAACAGGTGCTCCTCGAAGAACTCGGGAGTGATTCCGAACGCCTCGCCCAAGGCATGGATAGTACTCTCCGACAGGTCCTCGACAATAAAGACGCGCCCTTTCAAGCCCTCCCGCGTGTCGCGAAAGGGGGAGATCGATTCCGCGTGCTCAATCTCCACCCTCGACACTGTGTTGTCGTCGTAGTACTCGTACAGCGTGATGGAGGTATTCTCCACGCGAGGCGTCTTGCGGACGTTGCCGTACTTGATGTGGTCGAATACGTCTGCTGCGCGGTCCAGAACCCGACTGTAGGGTTGACGCGGCGGGGGTTGTTCCCTTCTCGGCTCTTTGGCCGCCTGCCGTTGTGCTGGCTGTTGTCTTGGTGATGGCGGCGGCGATGGCGGCAATGGAATAGACGATGGCAGTACGAAGGTGTCGTCGCGATCAATCACCTCCAGTGAAGGTTTCGCTGCATTCCTATCTCGTTCTCCAGGGTCACTGGCCGTGGATGATCCATCACGAGATTCGGGCAATGGAATCCGCTCCGGGATTCTGTCGGATGCGACTGGATCATTTTGCAGAAGGTCGTCCAGCGAGTTTCGTAGTTTGGTCCTTGGTTTACGTGCTTTTCGTGCGGCTCCCCCCGCTTCGGCGTGTTGCTGCTTGATCCATTCCAGGGTGTGACGGGATGGTTGCTGAGCCATTGGATTGGATTGGGTTATGGCTTGCAGTTACTATTTTGCCCTCTCTCAGATTGAAGCTCCAGTGTGTACATTATGTGCTGTTATGAACTGTGCTCAGGGTGCATGACTCGGCCAGAGCTGACAATTCGATTTCGACCAAGAAGTGGAGGTGCATGGCTAGTGTGATATGCTGACTTGGTGAGGCTACCAGCTACCTCGCTGCCGGGGTGGTTAAGACGTGCCAATCATAGCAAACATTGAAAGGAAAAGCAAAAATAAACTCTGATTCTCGTGTAAATATGAATAATAATGAACAGCTGGGATTTGCTAGTGGAGAGCTTTTGCTTGGATTATAGCGCAGGTTGAAGCCAAGTATAGAGCTCGTTGGCCTACCTAAAATAGTTAAATAAATCAATATGATTAGTGTTAAAGGCATCCAAATCCCACAACAACATAGTTATACATATTTGTATGCTTGTTACTTTTACCAAGAAAGTAGGTGAGGTAAATTATCTGTATTGGCCCCTTGATCAACCGCTGTTGAGATTGCCTATATCCATCATGGGCAATAACAAAAGCTCACAGGTAAGCTATACAGCATGTGGCTTCTCTGAAGCCTGAGCTAATGGATAAACACTGACTGTTTTATGAACCACAGAGCTTCTAAGTGTTGGATGAGAGAGAAAAAGTATAAAGATGGGAATAGTTTCACAGAACGACAAGAACAGGATAGTAGCCAAGATCTCATAAAACACTTCAGAAACTATTCACTCAAACTCTGTATCAGTATCAAAGTTCACCTCAGGCGGCAACTTCTTGTAGGGATCATAGAATCGAATAGAGGAAGGCAATTTTTCGGTGGTCGATGCAGCCACTCTCTGCGACGCCAAGTGCATTGCATGACGCACCATGGTTCTTAGAGTTGTATACACTTGGTCTAAAGTATTATTGTATTCAAATAAAACCTGTTACTTCATCGTTAGCTGGGACGAGAACAGTCTTTTGAATTGGATTACCTTTGACTCATTATCAACCCGGATAAAAGTCCAGTCTCTACCATCCGTAGCAATGCCGTAGATGCATGCATCTTGGTGGATGGCCTTTCGGGCACTGTGTATTGCTCCTATCATCTCTTATTAGTCTCTAGTTTAACAGCCAAGTCCAGTATGCTGCTTACCCATATATGCGAGACAGGGGCCGTCTACAGTTCCCCGATAGCCACGCTCAGTTTGAAATATGACGATGCTTACCCCTGCATCTTTCTCGTCACCATGCCAGATAGTGTAAGAAGCGCGAATCTTTAGCCTCCGAGGTCTGCCATGGTATTGCACGTCGACCATTAGACCGACTTTAGGGCGTAGTATGATCGGGAGCTCCTTTTCATAGAACTCTTCAAATGGAACTACTGTCATCCCCGCTTCCAGTGCAATAGCTGAAGTCAGGAGGACCTTCATCTGTGCGTCTGCAAAGGTCCTTCGACTGTCCAGAGGCGAGTCGGAAACGATGTCTTGAATTGCACAAACCCAAGCGCGTCAATCACGTTGCCTAGGCATATTAGTATTCATGAGGAAGCAAATAGTAAATTCAGAGAACCTACTTAGGAAATCTGGCATCTCCATTACATCAGCACGCCATATCTTCTCTGGTGAAGTGGTGTTGAATTGCATGCCGAAAAACCCCGCGATCCTATCATGAGGGGAAAATTTGGTTCTGAGGATCTCTACACCCTCAGTTGAAGGAGTTTTTGGCATATCTGGACTTTTCTCTGGTATCTCTGTATCTGATGATCCTGGATTAGAGTCTGCAGTCCTGCGTCCACAGATAAGGGCTTTGAGCTTCCCCATCGTTGGCGAAATTTTGCGTTGTGGGAGATTTTGTCAGTGGTGGACTGGTGTTGAAGTGGTGGGCAGCTGTCTGTACCTACATAAATGAAGGAATCACATTGACGTCTTGCACGTACAGGGAACCCATGTGCTCCAGACTCCAAGAAACCATGGCTCTAAAATCATCGTTTGGGGTATGCATCCACTGGTTTATTTTCCTGATCAATCCTCAAGAGATAACTATTTGCCTGCTACTTGTTAATCAACTGTTCAAGTCTTAAGGTGAATGAGTATTGGCGCGCGATCCTCAGACGAACGATGCAATGATCCCTGACCAGAGTTCCAGAACTCGTCGACTTCTCAATTTTTGAGGATAAAGATGACCGATAGCTTGTCGAGATACATCTTCTCTGATGCAGCAGGGGTATTACAACGTGGGAGATATCTGTCGAATTTGAGGTATCTAGTGATCGAATTTACCTCTGCAGGCCTCTTCAGAAGACTTTCTGGTTTTGACTCAACTGTGCACGGTGTGCATGCTCATCCTTTGCATGATATAACTAATAAAGCCTGAGGCATCTACTTCCACTGTGAATCTGTGATGATGTCCTGTGTGTCCCTGGGTGGGATAAAACCTGCACTTCAATACAGTTTCGGGCCCCATGGATCATGATGGACTCATCATCTCACATAATAAGGTTGTGGTACTCTGCATATGCATATGTAGTGTAAAGGGAAGTAAGCTGTTGCACTGCCATACTCAATCCCAGCGGGGTAAGTAACAAGTACTATACATGCATGGGTGGCAGCATGCATGGCCATACCCACCAGTAAATTCCCTGATCTTAATGACTCACACTTTGATCTAGGTACTAATCTTCAAAAATTATCAGAAAGTCTACTTTACTTTATTGGATGATGGAAGTAGGTGCAGAGCTAATTCGCTTGCATTCAGTACAAAGGAAACAGATTAAGTACATGTCCAATGATCATTGCCATAAAGTAATGGCTTGCATCTGAGACGGACAGTGCGAACGAATGGAATGACTTAATGAAGACAGCTTGCAGGAGCTCAAGTCTGAGTCATAGGATTTGCAGGTCGTCCCTGCGAGTCCTGGAACGGTGACAGGAAAATGTAGGGAGGATACATCCTCAGTTTTCTGTTTTCCTTCTTTTTTTCATGATTTGCTGGCTTTCATAGCAAAAGCTCATCAAGTTTCGTTCTTGTAGAGAATCGAGGACCAAAGCGTAGGGCAGTTCAAAACAGCTTCGCAGAATTCCAAGTCAAGATATGGAAAAGCCGATCACGGAAAGGCATTGCAAGCTTGATGGATGCCAACACAAGCAGGTAGAAAGGAATCTGTGCCAGTGAGAGCGAGTCGGCACTGCCGGGTCTGGCGCTCAGCGACGCCGGACTCGAAGCGTCCGTGTCTCGTCTTCGTATCTGGCATGGCACAGAGGATTTGGGGCATTGTTGTTATTGAAAGCGAATTCAGAAGACAGTCAATGATAATTCAACGATAGTATCCAGTTGGTCGATAGATGCGCGAAGAAGATTCCTTGAAGCGCTCAATGCGGTCTGCCGCATCCGAGTCGTACAGGGAGCCACGGGACGGCGATCCACGTGGAGACGGGTAGATGATCACACGGCGACTCTTGAGGGCGCGGGGCTCGCGCTCAATGATCTCGTTGACAGCAATGGGTTGCTGTGTGTTTGCCCGGCGAGGCGCAATTGGGTATGTGCGATCGTAGCTGATGATAGGGGCCGCGACCCGGGTCTGACTCTGAGCCTTCTCCTGCTCCTTGCGCTGCAGACGCAGGCCATCCTCGATTGCGAGGAGGAGGCCCCGGACAGCGACGCAGTCCCGGGGGATCTTGACTAGTGTGGGCTGGCTCAACTCGCGGTCGATGACGGACTTGGCCTTGCCGTTCTCACTGTAGAGGTACTCGGCCACGTCGATGGCGTACTGGCGACCACGGTCACAGAGGGTACGGTCCTCCTGGTGGACGCGCAGGGGGTCCGCACATTGCGAGCAGTGGCTGGCATGGCGCTCGAATGCGGTCATGACGTACTCCTCATCGTCTTCGAGCTCGCGGACGCGCAGCACGGGCGCGACGGGCTCGGGGCTCTCGATCAAGGCGGGCATGGTGTATGACCGGCGAGGGCGGACAGCTCTGCGGGTTGAGGTTCTTCTGATGAGGATTCGATCACGGAGGGACGAGAAGAGCGGCGGTGGGCGAAAGAGACGACGCGACGAGTCGTAGGGCGACACTGTGACGGCTCTAGGTGAACCAAGGGTGTGCGGTTGATTGATGGCCTGGAGCTCTCTTGCTGGTAGACGGCAGATGCGATTCAGGGAAGCGCTAAAGAACTGATAGCAGTTGATAGACGGCAGAAGATATTATAGAATGCTAAAGTAAAGCGATGCTTGAGGTAATGACAGACAAAAAAAATATCGGATGAGAAGAGGGAGATTGAGGTGATATATAGTCACCTGGAAGAGAAGGCATCCATAATCAAAAACAGAGTATAGAATTGCGACTAATAGAAACGGGTCGATCGCACCAAAGATAGAATGACGGCATTGGTCACAAGCAGAGGATCAGAAAAACGCCTTGTGGCCTGTGGGACTGAGGGAGGGTCGAGAGCGGGAGGGTGTGCACGGCAGCCTGGCAGATGATGCTATTCCCGTTCCACTCTTAGTGCCCGGTGTTTGCCTGGGGCGGGTGACTCGATGGAGTCCTCAGGCTCCCACAAAACGCTGCGAATGGCCAGTCTGCTGTGGCTGGTGCATGCAGGCAGTGCTTTTAGCCTCTGTTTTTCAATCCTGACAAGGAAAAGGGCGACTCCTGCAACACTGTCGGCCACAGTTTCTGGTTGTTGGTTCATTTCTGGCCTTGTGATTGGCCTGGATGCCTTAACTGGCGGTCAATCCCTCCTTTGAGACCCTCAGGGATGTCTCCATCATCGTCCTTCTCCATGCCAACTAGAGATCTAGTCCGTCATCTGTCATAATTTATGACTCCATGTGGTGTGGATGCTGCACAAAAGGGTACAAGTGACATGCAGACGGTTGCAGCTTGCAGTGCATCTAACCACTTTAGAGAGATGTCCACGGACCTGGTTTACTCATAGCGATCCTTATCGGTTACCTCTTCGGGACTCGGGAGGATTCGAGTCAGAATCGCAACAGGGGAATGACCGATTTTCAGCTGGGATGTGCACACTGCAAAGTGTCCTGTTCAACTGTGGCTTGACACCCTCGTATTCCTACTTCCTACGCCTCATCCCCCCTTAGAGCGACGCCGTTTCCCTCAGGCGTCACCACTATCATCATTGACTATCATTCTGGTCAATCATTGTGACCATAGGATTATCGCCGACCCATCTACAACAATATCTCGCTATATGCTCTTAGATCTTGTTAACTTGGAATTATTCGTCTTCCTTTGCCCGCCCGACGATATGTTGACGCTGTGCAGCCGCTATCTTGGTCGCATACAATTCCTGAGACGCGGTACGGTTTCAGACCATTATACCGGTAGCCTATACCATGCCTCTCATCTTTGATCATGTATAGTTGTGCTATTTGGGTTTCAGAATATGCCATCGAATGGGAGTTCCGTTCCTTGCTGGTCGGGGGGATCATCGCGATGGTGCGCTCGAGCCTCAGGGGCCGCACTGCCTCAGGCTCTCAGCCTCAATCTTCCTCTTTCATCATTTCAACTTCTGACACTCGAGACTATTGTTAGTGTTCAGCCTCAAGCCACAGTCTCGAGTCTGTGAGATGTGGCTTCTTCGTACTTCTCTTCCCTGTTTATCAGGCTTCAGCCACAATCTGACAGGATAAGCGTCCAACACGAGCTCAAGTCTCGGCAACGGATGGCCAGTTCTGGCTGCTTGCTGACTGGAATCCGTATTCTAGGCTTCTGGATTCTTCGAAACTATGTTTGAACTGAGCGTTGACATTCTATAGTTGATTCTCGGAAGGATTGCCATTGCAACGAATATTCTCATTATCGCTGGCTGCAATTCTCGCCGACATGGCGCGATTCGCCTTGATCTAGGCGCGGAGATCGCGAAACATCGCAAGTTTGCATCAGTGGTTCAGTCATTCTCGCCCAATGGATCATATGAAAAGATACATTAGAACGTCCGGCTCTCTATTTATATCTACCACCACTTGGCGACTCGGTACATTCGACCATACCTGACGATGTCTCACACAACGACTCTAACGGATTGGATCTGCTAAATGGAGGAAGAGACCTCTCGCATAGACCTTTAGAGCGTCAGGTGACAATTACGACTGCTGCGACTGTCTTGTCGAAACTCGCCGTAAGAGAACATAGTCTTTGGTTTAATACTGTAGCCAGGTCTACAAGAAGCCAGCCGGGCTAGCTCAATCGGTAGAGCGTGAGACTCTTAATCTCAAGGTTGCGGGTTCGACCCCCGCGTTCGGCTTCTCTTTTTGCTCTTGTCCATTTCAAATTGGTGAAGAGGAAATTTTCTTTTTGATCTGCTAATCTTCGTTTTGTGGATCGCGAGGTCGTTGGTCGGCAAGCTTGCTTGGCTCCACTGCAGATTGACCAGCTCCACTTTTAGGGCCACGCCAGTCTGGATCATCAGTGAATGTATATAAGTGATGGTGATGATCTCTAATGAGTCTTTTCTTCTCTATGGTCAATCTGTCAAGAGATTCGAAAACTAATCTTAAGAGAAAGTATCACATCGTGCACTATGGCCTCAAAAAACTACAGCGTAACCTCGTCAGGCAATCCCATGGCAGTTACCACTACAGAGCGCAAAATTACACATTTGCAATCAACAATCGAACGACAAAGCAATCGAATTGACTATCTAGAGCCTATCCGCAGGCCTCAACCATCAAGGTCAAGCCACATCATGCCGTCATTCAGTCATATCGAATCCCCAACAACCAGTCGATAAGATCCGCCAAGATCCAAAGGAAGAGAACCAAAGACGAAGCGAAAGCCGTCTATGAAAATCCCATAAGTATGCAGCTTTTCTCAAGACAGAAATATGAACTCACCATCGCGAGGAAGAATCAATTCATACCAAGTGTATGAGATCGATGATTGCAACGTCCGTCTGCACAACAATCCATTAGCGCAAGCCCGTGTCGTCAATGAACGAAACAAACCTAAGCCTTGCAGGTGAGAGACTTCTTGTCGCACTTGGAGCATTTACCGCTGCACTCCTGGTTGTTGAAGCAGAGCTGGCCGCAGTGGTCGAGTTTGTCGTTGATGTTATTGAGAGTGGAGGCCGCGTCGTTGGTGGTGGTGCCCTCGACGTCTGGGACGGCTGCTGCGCTGGCGACAGCGAGGAGGAAAGAGAGGCTAAGAAGGTCGAGGAACTTCATTGTGTTGAAGTGGTTGGTTGTGATGTTTGAGTGGATGTAGATGAGATTGATGGAGTGGGAGTGGAAGTAAGAGAGGTAGGTGGTGATGAGGAGAGGAGAGGAAAGAAGAAAGGGGACGATCGATCATGAGGGGGTATTTATACCTGTGAGGAGAGGATCTGAAAAGAATGGTTGTGAATAGTTAGAAAGTATGATCGTGAATATTATAAGGATGGTGATATAAAGACTTTACTTTTCTGGTAAAAAAGTTACACCAGTGAAGAAAGGAATAGGATGGCTAACTAGTTAGAACATACAGAAACTAATTATTCCAGGATATGTCTGCCTTAAACTGAGCCAGTGAATTAATTATCTTTGGCTTATACTAGCTTCATCAAAGAAAGTAGGATGAAGTCATGCAAGTAGCCTGATATTTAGGGGATTTTCTTTATATGCCTGCTGCTGTGAAACCTCAACTTGGGAATTTCTTGAGGTTGGAGTCATGATGATCCCTAAAGCAAACAAAGAAAATCTGCCTAATAGTTTAGTTTTGTTTCCTCTATTTCTGAAATCTCTAGAGAATAGATATCCTGAATCACTATACCCATAAGACCAGCCGACTTAGGTTCAACACAAATCACCAGAATTACATGTCCCATTTGTGCTTCTAAGATTCCAGTTCACCATTATAGCATGCTTGGGAATCCAGTAACCTCCACTATAAAACAGTATGCGTCGAGTATGAAAATTGCAAAAGGTCAGTAAGCTGCCACTCCAAGGGCAGTCTAGTCGAACTGCTCGAGAGAGTCGTTGGTTGCTAACCCGCTGCTTGCCCAAACAGTGTCGCATTCGCCCTTTGTGACGGGACTCGACCGTGTTCTTCACCTCTCAGAGTGCCTTGCGAGCCCGAGCCCGAGCCCGAGCCCGAACCTCAGACTCAAGAAGTAACGCCATGATCTCAAGGACATCGATCTATTCAGTTCAGAAAGTCCTGTGGAGCTAGTTGTTTGACTGCAAATGAGCTCTACGCAAGTGTTCTTTCATATTGTCTTCTCGGTTGAACAGCCTTCCGCAGTCCACCGTAGGACACTCGAAAGATTGGGAAAGATGTGCTGTGTCTTGACATGTCGCTCTAGCTCGGCTTTGCGAGAAAAGACACCAGCGTACGGGCAGCCCTTCCATTGGCATCTGATGGCAGCTGGGTCATGGGCCGCATTACTGCGGATATATCAATATTAATTGCTGGTGGTATGAGGACAGGCAAAGAGGCTTACACCGTATCAGAGGGTCGACGGCCAAAGTATCGGTCATCGGAGGCCGCGTTTACACCTGCTGATGGAACATGTGGTCCTTGAACAAGCGGGCCGATGCCAGAAGAGACTGGAGGTGACTGGATTGGAGCATGGTAATTGACATGGCCCGACCAGAAGGCAGCTGTCCGGCCCTCAAAGTTGGAAGTGTAAGTCGGAAGCGTGTCCATGGCGAGGCATCCCAAATTCGCCGAGTCAGCTTGGGAAACAGCAGAGGGCACGGTATAGCCAGCATACATCGATGCTGGGAATGATTGAGGAGTAGAACTGAACAACAACGAATCCAATCCTTGCGAGCTTCTGTCATGGCATATGGACATGCGAGCCGGATCAGCGACGACATTGGGCCGAGTCTGAGATTCTTCGAGCAAGGTATCGTTGCTGTCCCTCCACCCCTCAAGAGTAGACCAATCGGAGTCAAACTGATATTGTGACATGATGAAGGAGTATACAGATAGATCGAGGCCAAAAGAAGTTCAAACCAAATACATGCAATTCGGAGAATGATACGAGTCACTGAAGACTCGAAAGCAGAAGGGGTTTATATACAGCAACATGACGGTGGTGATACTATTCCTACAGCCAACAGTCAGGGCAATGATGAATTAGGAATCTGTATGTCCACGCACCCCTTGAGTGCACAGGCCCCAGTTCCCTCCTCCACCAATCGAAACGAACATGGGAAAATAATTCGATATCAGATTAAAACTAGGGAGTAACCCAGTCTCGTTTGCAATCTACGCATCCATCGACTGGTCGCCCTGACCCCTCCACCCCTCCTTATTTTTCCTTGCGCCAATCGCCATCAGTCTAATCCTGATTGAGTTTCGTGCCGCCTTGCTCAGTTTTGGGGGTGGTGTCTTGACGGTGTCTAACCGACCCCTACTACATTGTGGCTTAGTTTGTCAGGGACACATCGTCGGCGTCGTGTACCCATCATCACGTGCTGGTTGCTTATCAACCAACAGTAACATTTAGGAAATACAACTATCATCTTCCCGCTATTCGACCTCACGCATATACTGCGCCTACCATTTGGTAGCATGTCCCTGGTTTTTCAGGAGGTGATTTGGGGCTCTCCAATCAATTGCTTGTTTTACTAGAATCAATTTCCTTTGTTGTATGACAAGCAGCGTAGCAGTGGTTTGACCCTGCGCCTGTTGATCGACTTTGCTCTCAAGCAGAAACCCGCGTCGACGCGTTATACCGCCTTCCCTGTTAGGAAGGAAGTCAATACAGCTCAGCAGCTCAATAATAATAATCTCTTCAATCGAGCTCCCGAGTCGACTAGTTACCACACCTCACGATACCATTGAAATACCTCAACTTTTCCATCAAATACATCGCCAATCCATCAAATCGATCAACAATTCGGTCCATTGTTTGAGTACCTTTGCCTTTCGACATTCGTTTTGCTTGACTAAGCCGCAACGTAGTAGGGGTCGGTTAGATAAGGCGAGAGTGCCTAATGAGACTTCCATACCGAGTATAGCCCACAGGATCTTAAGAGAGGCTCCTCAGTCCCCTTTCCATTCTTTTCATTCAATGATGTCAAGGTCGTTACTTCTACCACCATGGAAGATTCGGATTGGGACGCCCACTGGGCGAAAATCGTACCCATCTACGTCAAAGAAGGACAAGGTTGGGAACGGCTTTCTGGGTTGATGGGAAAAAATCACGGTTTCATAAGAGCATGAGGATTACCCGCTCTCTTGCTACAAAGGGAGTGCGCTCTGACAATGCGCAGAGAATATGATTACAAAAAACGGTTCAAGAAATGGCGTATCACGAGAAACCGCATGGGCACGAAGAACTGGAAAGTTGTCAGACAAAAGATCGACAAGAGAAAATCTGAGGGCAAGTCCTCTGAGGTCTACATCGACGGCGTCTTAAAAGACCCAAAGTCTGTTCAGGTTGAGATACACCGGCAAGGTTATCAAAGAGAAATCGAGAAATATCAAAGAGGTGACTTCTACCTCTGTGTCAAACACGATGCAAGCAAGGAAAACAGATACAATGAATGGTATAGATCAGTCTCCCCAAACACCAGAAGGGGTCATCATCTGTTCGCCTGCACCGCCAATACTACAACATGCCTGGCCGCCAAACCTTCCGTGATTCATGTTTTCTGATCTTATTTCCATGGAAGGCAATATCAGTGAGAAAACATGCATCGTTTTTGGCAGTCGCTAACATCTTATAGAAACCGGATCAGTGGCGTCGATTTCTCCCTACAAATCACCAGAAAGCGGCGGCTCTAGAGACCTTGCGAGAAAGAGCACTATTCGGACACTGGGTTCATTTCTCTCTGAAGGCCAGGTCAAGCTGTTGCAGAATATTCTCCTCAGACGCACCGACTGCAGGGGGCTGGGTATACCCAAGTTCTGAACGACGAGAAGCGCCGGACCGTCTATATGCATCCATTTGATCCTTCCGAATCATCAATCAACCATCATAGTATCAGAAGTGGAACACTGGATAACCTAAGTCTTGAGTCTTCTTAGATCCAGTTAAACCGTGCGCATGACGACGCGCGAGTTCAATATTCTCAAATGCGGCCACAAGTGTGACCATAGCCGTGGACACAGCCGGAAACACCACAGGGCCCCAGTTTTCATCAATATCGAAGAATCTAAGGTACCAGCCCATGATCACTGAAAGATCGTAGGCGTTTCCCAGCATCCCCTCTGCCGTCTAGCCAACCTCATTAGTATACCATCAACACTTGGGACAACAACACATACACAGGCGCAGGCGGCACGATGTCGGGAACACTGTTTACAGAGCACGGACATCGGTGGGATCTCATCCCCGATCTGCTGCCCTTGCTGCCCGGCTCGGTCCACGGGATCCTAACCTCGGGCTTCCCAGAGCACTGATGGCCCGGCGAATTGTGGGAAAAGGAGCCCCGTGCCACTGCTTTGGGTTTGAACTTGCTCCTTCAGAGAGAAGTTAAAGAGGTATATTCAGCCATATTGACCTCCTAATGTGTGCCTGGATGCAGGAGCCCTAGCGATCGCAGGGGAGGGATAACGAGGGCGACGTGAGGACGAACTGAGCTCAGATGAGTGTCTTCGGTCGCTTGGCGAGGGTGATTCTCGTTTGTGGTATGAAGAACACCGACGGGCCCCACGGACTTGGGATCGGGAACTGCAGCGGTAACCCATCCGGCCAGGTATCAGGAGATGGAGGCTCTTTGTCAAGGACATCATGAAGCGTCTGTTCCACAACATCTAACATACGGCCACGAACACCAAACCTAGCAAAGACTCTCCTGATCTTCTGGATGGCTCTATTGCCCAAGGATGCGCCTTTTAGGCTCATGGCGAAGTGAGATAGGATCCTGGAAAGCGAGAAGAACGCAAAATGAGGGAAAGAGGATTCGATTCTTAGGCCCCTGTCATCCGCCAAATTTGCAGCTACGGCCCAATCCTGGATCTCCTGTGGCTTTGAGGCGCCTAAGAATGGCGATCTCCAAGGCCCGCTACGCAATCCGATATTTCATCATCTCGATTCCATAGTTAACGATGGTGCTCTCTATTTTATCGACTTGATCCTCATATACTTGCTTTGCAAGCTCCATACAATCAGCTTCATCTGCGAAAGACAATAGGAGATGGCAGTCCTCAGCTTTCATCGTCTGTCCGGTGGAATCGCAACTCCGAATGTTTCTCATGCCTTAAGGTTGAATCAATATACTGACTTTGTACAGACACCAGTGGAGTTCTCCTAGAGTTGCTCACTGCTAAGCGGGCGGCGACCAAATCGTTGACAAATATCTTCCAGCGCGACTTTAGAAGAAAACAACCCGGTGCATCTTGCTCTGCTGGCTGCAGGTAACTGCAAACTGTGTTGTAAATTGCTTGTTGCCTGGCTGGATAGTCCTCCCATAAGGGAAGCTGTGTGGACAGTGTTTCCCAGTTGGTGGCGTTATTGTGCCTTGTGTGGATCGAGACGGGGTTTCGACTTTCAAGGATCCCAAGAAAAGGCTGTGGCATGCACGAATAAACTTACTAAAGGTGTTTCTCCTGTCTGTGCTGATCTTCTGCCAGAGTGGACAGAGTTCCTCATCTGTTGTGGCTTAGGTAGCCTTTGCTGGGATGTTGCTGGTATCACCAGTCTCAAAGAATTTGTTTTCAGTGGGTAAGTCCCCGAGCTTTGAACCATAGCCCGAGATCAGAGATCTCAAAGAAGAGTCTCTTCTTTCCTTAACTGACCTTACGGCTCCTTGTTAAGCGACGTGTGTCATTCAAATCCCAATTCTCTGCCGCGGCTCTCAAGCACACCATGCACCAATATGTGCCACACAACAATGTGTCTGGATCTCAGCCAGGAGTGAGCGTGGTCATTCTGATGAAGAAGATCATGGTTCAAAAATGATTATCAACCACCACCCATTCAACCCCCTAGATGTGCTCCTGGTTGTCGGACTCAAGACCCTCTAGTTCCTTTGCTCGGTAAGCCATGTGTTGATTAGTGCACTAGTACACAGAATGAGAGTTGGCCGATGAGTGTGAGAGTCATCCTTCTTGGCACGCAGCGATGAGTACTATAGTATGGTTATTGTGGTCGTGGTCTTGCCTGTTCCACAGGCATCTATGAGGATGCTGCCCGCCACCAGGCTCTTCTCTTGAGCCAGCATCCAGGCTGCCCTAGTGGCCTGCCATGGCTTCAGGGTTGTACCTGGCTGATTCATGTTGCTAGGCACCAGCAGCAAAGGATTAAGGGGATTGAGTGCCAGCTCTTGGCATGCAGCAGTATACACTGGTGCCTCTGCAGACAGGGACATCTGGGCCTGGGCCTCCCCTGCTCCGGCAGGCGTTGCATCAGGTCTCACTTCGTCCGGTCCATCATCGCTGTCATCGGTAAGCACATCGACCATCTCCTTGCCCGTGCTGTGTGCTGCTAGTTGGTTCAGAAAGGTCTGTATATTCTCTGCGTCGCTGACATCTGTGTTCTCCGGCTCGTGGATTATGAGCTCGGTTTCAAAACCGTCCAAGGCCATCATGTGCGCATAAAGCTTAGCACGTTCGGTCTCCGTCATAGGCGGGCGCAAAGTATCTGATCTCTTAGGCACCGCGTCATAGTCTCCCCTGGCAGAGGTAAGGAACGGTCTGAAAACCTCGTATGTGCATCGAACTCTTCCATTGTAGTCACTGAAAAGTGTAAACTCAATAAGTATGAACATCAATATTCAATCTTACCGAGATGGGGAGGGACTGCAAAAGGGTACTGGTCTGGGATCTTCCAGAGTTCGTTAACCTTTGTGGCTTCGTGAGACGACTGGGTGTCTTTGAGCCCAAAGTACTTTCTGACTGTGTTGTGATCTAAAGAGGTGACAGGTTTGCCCTCTTTGCTTTTGTTGGACCTCTTGAACTTGCAGACTCGTCGAGGGCGTCCTGGATGGTCTGCTCCACAACGTCTACGACGCGCCCACGAATACCGAACCGGGCAAGCTCTCTTTTGACTCTCCGGTCCGCTCTATTTGCCAGAGACGCCCCTTTTTTGGCCAAGGATTTGGCCCTTTTAAGCTGGTATATCCAACCAGACGGCATCGTACCGCGCGTGGATCGATTTTGGTAACACCTTGCTTGGAGCGTATCTCGTCCGCGATAGTCAACCATCCGACGGAACCTAGAATTCTCAGAGAGCTAACGTCCGGACGTTTGCCGAATCGTATCTCATAAGGCGTCATGTTCTTGATTAGAACCACCCCTTTGATGATTTCTCCCCATAGATTGCGAGAGATCGTTTTGTCGTCGATGACGGCGCGGACCTTAGTCAAAATCGTACGACCGAGACGCTCTGCGATAGGGTTCTGACTATGCGCATAAGGTGCGGTGAGTTCCCATTTTATGGCTTTGTTTCTAGCCCAGGCTTGGAGCTCCTTCTTGACGAATTCTCCGCCGTTATCCGTATGGATAGTTTGTACTTGCACGCCGGCGCGTTGGGGCTCATTGCGGAACACAAAACGAGGGGAAAGTGATTCGATTTTGGTGTTAAATTGGCTGCAAGTCAGGCCCACAGACTGACAGACAGACACCGATGACAGACATACGATGATTAGGGAACTTGAAACTGCAACAGAGGCTATAAGGTGGTGGAATTTCAAGGTGGAGGGGAGAGATGATGAGAAAAGAGACCTTCGGGAGGAGGAAGGATGGAAGATTAAAGCAGAAAGAAGAGGAAAAACGAGGGAAGATAATGGTATCGCGGGTCTCAGCAAAGAATCTTCAAAGCATGCATGATACTGCACTGTAACGTACCTGTCTATCCTTTTTGTTACCGGTCAGGCCATGCAGAACGCGAGTGCTTGTTCCACATTTGCAAACACGTCGACCAAATCAAGCAACGCTTATGTAATGTCGGGTTGTATCGCAACGGCTCAATTGAGACCTGGGTCGAAAAACCCAGCATACCATTATATAATGGCAGACAAATCCAAGGCGTTTCCTGCAAGTCCTGGGGCAACCTATCCAGGACCACCATTAGCATGTTAAGACAATAGCAAAGCTATTGAAACATACTGGTTCGCAAGGCGCATGACGAGTACGACCCTGACGAGGTGCTATCATTAATGCAGCAGTTGATGTAGAAAGGACGAGGCTCATTTACGTCCCAGTTCTTTGCAGCCGTACGGAGACAGGGCATGCACCAAAACTTGGTAGCAAGCAACGAATCGGCGGGCTGGCCTGGAGTCAAAGTCGCCATATCGAGGACGAAGAGTTTGCTGCGAGTATGATATCAAGAATGAAATAAGGCTTAACGCAAACCAGGAGAAGCACAGAGGTGAAGGTAGTGAAAAGAAGAAGTTGAAGAAGCGAGAAGTTGCCAAGGGAAAATGTCTCGTTTTCATCGGTGGCCAAGTGCTCGAGCTTCGGACCATAGCCCGAGACGAACGCGAGACCACCTTATGGATTACCGAACTGCCAGAAGTTAGCAAGAGCAGAATCAGGAGAAAGATAGCACTAACTCATTCCTCTACAAGTCCAACTAACCGTAAAAGAAACTCCAGTGGCGAGGGACGTTCTCCCCAGTGCTTGCTTTATGTTTTTCAAAGAAATAATGCAATGACTTCGTATCAACTTGAGCACCACCCTTGGTTCCTGTGGCGAAACCCTTCGCAACCAGACCGATTACTTTTCAGCTTGCTGCAAACAAGTGGGATATTTTCAGAGGGAATATGGATGAATTCGAGTTTCCCTGCGACAATTTCTTGGCGTAGAAAGTGGTGAAGAGTGTCGATATGCTTGGTCCTGGTATGATATTCTGCGTTATGAGATAGTGCCATTGCTCCTTCATTATCAGTGCGAATGGGAATGGGGCGACTACAGAGTGAATCCCAGGAGTAGTCAGATAGCTTCCTGGGCGGCTGCTCGGATTCCGTGGATAAGGGGGCGACGCTGTTCTGTCTTTTTGAGTACCATGAGATAGGTGCTGTGCTACACATCCGCACGCAGAACTATCAGTCATAGCAACAGGGCCATCATACCCAAGGAGGAAGGTAATGGAGAGTGGTGCAAGGCAGATGGTAAAGTTGTAAAGGCTGGATGAGAAATATTAGAGGGGAGGTAAAGAATTCCCGCACTCTTCAGCAGTGAATAAACACAAGGCCACACACTGAACATTGCAAAACTCATTCACAGCGCGGCCACGGTTGAAGGTTGGACAATCTCATCATCTAGGCTTTCATTCACTCCGCAGTCAGGTAGGGAGTCTGTGTCAATCCCAGATGTCGAATTTGTCGAAGCAAAATAGCGCTGTGTTTGCAAAACTTGTCTATGTGCTTTTTCTGGAAGTCTTAAAAAGCAGCAGGGGTGTTTGGCCATGCTTAGCGTTCAATTTTAGAGAGTCCTAGGAGAATCGCATATCATGAATATAATCTTAAATAACCAGGGTGGTATGTATTGTGTGGCATTTGAGTGCTTTGATATTTTCCTCTGCAGTGAATGCTCAGGCCAGAGTGAAGGACTCTTTGCCGTGGATCTGCATGCACACCTAGCACAGCCTACTATATGCATTCATTCTCATTTCTCGCCTTCTATTTCCTAACCAGATCTCCCTGCCATACTTGAAAAGGAGTCATCATAGGCATTCTAGTCGACTCTCAGTGTCAAGTCGCTCTTTGCATGAAGCTTTCCAGATAATAGGCTCTCCCACAACAGAATAGTACTCTTTTCATTGCGATAGCCCGGCATTAAAGTGGAGTGGGAAGCTCTGTTAGAGTCCTCATATGGATTCCAGTATTGTCCATAGTAAATTAAGGCTCCATTAGCCAACTGGCGTGGGATGTGGGGATAAGAAATGTGCCGTGGGTATCAAAACGCAGTGTGGCTGGTGAAGGTGCACCAGTGGTTTCGGTTGCAACCGATGCAGAGGTCGCCTGACGGTCCGAGCGGATTTCAAGATCATCACCGATGTAAGTTCCAGGTTTTCTTAAGATGCTTGACTTGAACCCCCGCATCTGAGAGCTGAAGGAGGGTAGGATGTCTCGGAATGGCGGGTGACCAGGTGAGCGAGAGAGTTTTTGTTCAAAGACAAGTCTTGCGGTGTGCTCGATCAATATTGAAGATTCGGCATGAATTTCGAGAATTGTCAACCGTTCCTCAAATACAAGCGTTCCTTCGCCGTAGACGAGTGTGCATGAGTCTCTGAGAAGAAATCCTTCGAGTCGACGGGAATATTCTGATCGATGAGACTTAGGCTAGCCACTTTCTCAAGGAGTGAAGGATTGAGAATCCACATGAGCAGATGCATGCATATCATATTCTTTCCAGGGCGGATGAAGCCAGCACTAAGTGAGCTTCGAGCATTCGACTGGTTGGATCCATCACTGGGTCACCTACGCCATATTGATTTGTACCTCTGAACAATCTGCCCTTGTCTCCAATAAAGTTAGCCATTCTGGACCGACACCCTCAAGCATGACACTTACTTCACGTCATGTTGTTTCAAGAATCTTGAAGTGGTCTACTAGTTTGTGGATGAGGAATCAGTGAGATTTATTGCATGCATATAAAGCAGCACGCCAGGTAGAATCCCAAGCTTGAGTCTGCTCAGGTTCTTGTTAGTATTTATGAGAAGGTGAGCAAGATTGAGGCTTCTTAGCAGTGTCTTCATGCAGTGTTTTCTCGCGCGTTGCGGCAGCAAAGGAAAAATTATATACGCTATAGAAATATAATACCACTAGGCTAAAAAGGTGTCCGGACGATGTACTACTCGTCAGTCTAGGGCTTCATATCCATAATCATAGTGGTATCTTATTCCAGCATAAGCCAATGCGGCGTAATGAGCTCTCGGGGTTCCACTGCTCTGTTTGATGTGATTAGAACCCCACAGAGATACATCACCATTTGAAAAGCGACTTCTATATATATCATCACTGCTTTGGGCCAATGATGCAAGAGGAAATCATGAAGCAAACGTCCTTGCCATCATGGAGGTCAAGCTGAATGCTCATGGCAAACCAACTCATGAGTATACAAACAATTGTATATAGCACGAGCAGAGGAAGTTTAATACTACTAGACAGATAGAAAGCATGGGAAACTTTTCTCGTATTTATAGCTTGAAACGGCATGATGAAGAGGCTGAAAGAAGCTTTCATCAGGAGTCGGGACAAAGATAGATATGATCACCCAAGATACATCAAACTGCTGTAGAAATAATCCCTCTTATAGAATTCCATGATGACAAACAGACAGCTCATTGAGCTGACACACATTTGATGATAATCTTCGTCAATATGCAGAGAAGAGGTACTTCCACTAAGTACCTGCAGCAAAGGCACCCGTACCCGTAGTCTTGGCGTTCTATCCGCCTTCCGCACTATTCCATTCCAGGACATTGCATATCACGTGATACTATCCAGATTCCAAAGTTCTCCTCTCACAACTCCGATAACTCGGAATCAGTCACGACAAGGCTCCATCCCCCTCTTGCTGCCCCTCCCTTGCAAGTCGCCAAAATGGCCAAGAAAGGTATGCGCAGATTTCTGCTCCAGCGCTGTGTCTTCTAAGCGAACTCGGAGTTGCTCATCCCCATCACATTGATCTGCGGAGTACCGATGACTGACTTGCGATCTCCTACACAGCGAAATCTCGCACGATTGCCGTTCGCCTGATCTCCATGGCTATGACTGGATACTATCGCACAATGATCCGCCCTCGTACGCACCGCCCTCTGAGTATGCTCAAATACGACCCCGTGGTGAAGAAGAAGGTCTTGTTCCTGGAAGCGACAAAGGGTGGAAGGGCGAAATGATTTACGATCTCTCTTATCCAAATATCTGCGAGGTCAAGCTCGGTCGCTTCGAATAGGGATTGACTTGGTGGATCGGCTCAGTCTTCCTCGGCGTCAATGAATCCACTCCGTCCCTAAACCATTCAACATCTCAAAGGCAGCGACAAGTCGAGCCCGTTACTCCCATCAACCATCATGTACATTAGGAAAACAGCGGCACAAGCGATACTCTGGCCTCCTGTGTGGACTCGTGTATTGCTAAGCTGTTTCTATTCTGGTCTTGCATTCCGGCGTTTAGAGCAGTACATTCTGGGTTAATTCTAACATGTTCGATATCTTCATTTTTCCCTCCCTCTTCTCGGCTATATAAATGATGTCTCCGTCCCGTGACTTGTTCAATCTTGTGATAAATACGCTGCGTATCTCCTTCCTGCCTCGTCCATAATTAAATTGTTGCTAACCTTCAGGCGCAATATTGTTGAGCTAACATTCGGGCTCTACTGTCTATATACCATCAACCTGGTCATTAAATCTCTGACTGAAACGGGCACTGTAGCGGTCACCTGTGTCCATCAGCAGCTATAGCTTCCTTGCGGGGAGGAGAGAGCTTACCGCGTCTTTTCCGGCCTCCGCGCCTCGCGTCTCGTGTCGTCCAACTCTTGTTTTTCGGATTGCTCTCAATCGCAGATGGTTGTCTACTACTTCCGGATGCTAAGCTAGCAGGGCTCGTTCTGCGCTCAAAGTAATCGGAAGTGCCTTGCGCTTGCCCTCTGGTCCTGGAACTCGATGGCGCCACAGACACTCGTGCTCTCTTGTCATTGCTCGTGTATTGGTTCTCCGTATGAGTCTCACGATTCGACACTTCGCTAGCCGGAGAAGCATTGGATTGGTTTGAGAATTTGGGGAACCCCTTCGATGAAGGAGAGCGCTGAAATTTGCTGTAAGTGCGTTTCATGGTGCGTTCTGGTCTCTTGACAAGCCGGTTTTCGGAAGCGCTCTCCTCATGAGGGTTGTCCACGGTCGCTGAGAACTTCCGCTTCTCAATCCTGGTTGCCTTTTTTTCTGCCTCGAAAGTGACAGTTTTCTGCTTTTCCTGATCCTCCTTTGCAACTTTATGACCATCAGCAGTTTCCGTTGCCATGGAGTTCGGTTTCAGTGGCTGGTGCCGTGAGCTCCGCGACTGTTCATCACTCATTCCGAGGTCGGAGTCATCAGCTTCGTGCGAGGTTGCTGCACTCCCCTTCTCATTCTTTTGTTTCGGCGTTTCCACAACCGTATCGACCCGAGGTGACTTGTTATTCGGGGTGAGGTCTAGCATCTCTGCAAGATCGCTAGGTTCAGGGCTCAGAGATGAGTCAGGTGCCGGTGATAACTGCTGTCGAATACTCGAGAATGGTACAATTTCAGTTGATGGTTCCGGCTTTTCACAGTGATTAACCGGGTCAATGATTCCAGATCTCGTATTGGTTTGAACCGGGGAAGACAGCCCGCCACCTTGAAAGCTCTGTGTCCGATATATCACCTCTGTCGTCTGAACAAGGCCCTTAATAGGACTCTCACAGATTCTGTTCGGTGTCAAGGTCACAGAAGGACTTCTACTCGCATTCACAACGTTAACAGCTGCAGGGACAGTAGTTTTCTGTGAATTGGAAGCTGGGTTGTCGTTGATGTCTGTCGAGCTCAGATAGTCCTTCAGTTTGTCCCAAGTACCCATAAATAATCCTCCTGATGGAGGATCATCTGGTCGATCGATGGCCTCTTTGATATTTTTCATCCAGCGCTCCGAGTCCTGAAGTCTTTTGAGGAGAGCATGTATTTCGGCTTTCGCCTTCGCTTTACCTGTTTCCAGATTTGACCTGGCCGATTCGGCAGCGCAAAGCTTTTTCTTGGCCTGTGTGAGTTCTTCCTCTTTTCCGAGTAGGTCACTTTGACATGTGTCTAGCTTCCTCTGGAGATTTTCTAACTCAAGGTCTTTCGAGGACAGTCTGTCATTGAGTTCGACGATTCTTCCTTGAACTTCATCGAGCTGCTGGAAGATTGACTTCTGTTGAGCCAGAGCAGCAGCCTCTGACTTTCGCAGTAGCTCCAGTTCCGCTTCCTGTTCACTCATCCGAACGGTTTCCTGAGCGCGGAAGTCCTCCAATTTCTGTATTTGTTGTTCTCTTTCCAGGAGCTACAGGAATCAGCAATTTTCATCGGTCTGTCTCTAAAATTGGTTTACTCACTATTGACTCCGATTCATCCTTTCGCTTCTTTGCTGCATGTTCGCTTTCAGTCTGCAAATCATCAGTGAAACTTCCCTGGTAAGACTCGATGCTGATTACCATTGACGCTTGAGCCTTAGCCAGCGATTCCCTGATCGTGACCATATCCTTTTCCGCTTCAACTTTCTCTCGCAGCAGTTTATGGATTTGTTGCTCAAATCGTGCCTTGATCTGATCTCTGGAAATGACGCTCGCTCTGTTCAATTCCTCCCGAATTTCAGTCTCGATAGAGATTGTCTTCTGTCGCAGGCTGACGGCTTCAGCCTCGAAATCATCTGCTCGTTTCATCGCCTCCTGCATTTTTGCTGTGACCTCCAGAAGGGCAAGCTTCGCTGCCTCGGTCTCGAGCTCCTTCGCCCTAGCATTCTCTTCAATAGAACTCACTTTGATTGAAAGCTGCTCGATTTGATCTTTGAGTGCGGCATTCTCCGTGGACAGATCACAGACGTCTGTTGCTGGAGCCGGGTTCTGCGCCTCAAAGATACTCTTTTCTAGATGAGTAATATGCTGGGCAAGATCAATCTCCTTCTCCTCGAGCGTTGTGAGAGAGGAGTGAATTCTATGCATGCTTGGCTCGAGAGCTTCCAACCTTTCTCGCACGGCGTTGTACTGTTCTTCGTTGATCCCGAGCTGCTTGAGAAGTGCCATATGGCAGCCGTTATTGTTCTCAAAGAGCTTCAGCTGCTCCCTCATATTTTCTGCCACATCCTCGTTGAGCGCGAAGCTTCTTTCGAATCCCTCATTTAGCTTGCAATCGAATGTATTCACACTGACACCAACAAGTCAGCATTCCATTCCTAAATACTTTGTCTCGGATCATACCTTGAAAAGATCTTGTGGGCGATGTCATTGCATTGCTGGATATCCACTCTGTCCCTCGGAAGCTGCTCGCTCAATTCTTTGAGAAGTGAAAAGCACTTCTCGAGTGTCAATCCCAATGTAGTTTGAGTTGCAACCTGAGAAGCGTTCACACTCTGACCCAATATGTCAAACGCAGAGTTGAGCTTGCTGAGCATCTCCTGCTGGTCAGTCCGGATTACCCCAAGCTGCTTCGTTTGAGCCCGTGTATTATTATGAATGTATGATTCCAGAATTGATGATCTTCTCCTTTCTTCCATCAACTGGTTTTGGACAAATACTGTCTTTTCTTCTGCATTTTTCAAGGCTAGTGTCATGGATTCGATCTTTTTCTCGGACTCTGCGAGTTGATTTCGTTTTTCCCCAACAAGAGTGGCGGCTTGAGAAATTTGACGCCTAGCATCTTCAATGCCAGACTCGATTTCGGTTCTTTCATTCTCCAGAGTTGCTTTTACATCTTTGAGTCGGAGGTTCTCATTGCGAAGGTTTCGATACTCAACCCCAAGCTCGTTAAGAATGCCCTTGAACTTCCCTAGTTTCGCTTTCCAGTTCTCTATCTGGGCTCTGTATGTCTTTGATTGACACTTGCTCCGCTGTAGTTGATTGTCAAGGATCTCGAGCTGATTCTTCAGAGCCTTGTTTTCCTCTGCCATTTCAGACATCTCGGCTTCCATTCGCTCCTGCAGATTTGAAGTAGCGATCTCATTTTCTTCTCGAACTCTCATCCGATTGATTAGAAGCTGGAACAAATCTTCCTCTGACAATTGCGAGCCTCCGTTGTCTGAAGCCAGTGTCATAGTTCGTTTCACACCGGGCACCTTTTTCCCGTTTGTGGGACGTCGCTTTGAGATCCTAAAATGATCAGTCGTGGGACCCAATGAGTGTAAACGAGGCACTCCCTCCCTGTCCATAACCTCATTCTGGCGGTTGGGATTTTGCTCCATAGCGGCCCTCTCATTGTGCTGTATAAGCAAACGTGGAACTTGGTGTTGAGTCTAGCAACCCGTTAGTAAACTCTTGCGAAAACGTTGGAGGGGAACTTACACTCGGTTGGGAAGTCACGGAGTTTGCATTATCGTCTATGAAGATTAGAACCCCTACACGGAACCTCTTGCAGGCTTTACCAACCTGGATTTCCTGCATTCGCGGCGATGTGTTGAATGTCGCCCGCTGTTTTCGAACCACCATCTTGTCCTCTCTGGCTTTGTAGTCGATCCGTTGGAGTATTTCTGCAATCACTTTCCGCACTGTCGCAACGGTTTGCTGCATTTCCCAAGTCTTGGGGTTTGTGCACCGCTGGAGAGCAGGACCTCGTCACGTCCTGGCGGGATACGTTACTTCTGGTCATTCCATACGTCGTGCAGTCCTTGTCCGAGGCATGAGAGATGGAACTTGAAGGATAATTAGTATATTTAAAAAGTGAGAGCATTGGAGGAACGAACTTTACTTGGTCTTGATGCCTGGCTTGATCGGTCATGCCACACCTATTAGTTTGTTCTAAGGGAGGATTTCTAGGTGCCGAGCAAGGCCTATTTGCCAACGATTGTAGCAAAAGTGGCCTTCCACGTGGACCAGGTTTTCCAAAGGAGAATCCCGCGACATCGAGTCCAGAGCTCTGGGGCCGTTCAAGAAGCAGTGGAGCAGGACGAGCTTCTTGCGGTCGATCTGACTCCTTATCTTTCTCCATAACTGCCTTCAGATTTGGTGAGATGGGCTCATTGTCGTTTTGTTCCATGTGGAGAAGCAGTAGATCTTCATCGCCATCATATTGAGTCGCATGGCCGTCACGCTCAAATTCGGATATGGCTAGAGAGTGACCAGGTGAAGAAGGCCCAATGCTTTGATTCTCCATCACGGTGTCGTCTTGAACGCTCAAAACTCAATAGCTAGCGCTGACTTCGCTTGAAACATATGGCATGCACGTCGGTGTCCTACTCAAGGAAGAACCGTTGCAGACGTCCCAAAGTATTGGGCTGGTTCTTTTTTGCGCGAGCCTGAAGAGAAGACGAGCAAGGGAGACGTTGAGAGACCAAGGGACTGAATGGAAGAATCCTTTCGAGATGAAAAGGTAGGTAGAGTCAAGATCGCCAGCTCCCCGAGCAGAAGAGAATTCCTTGTCAGGTGGTAGCTTCCATTTTAGGAAGTAGCACGTCTTTGCCTCATAAGGCATCAAAATTCCAGTATACTCCGTTGGGTACTCAGGATCATACCGATGCCCTTTATGGAGGTTGGTCTTTTTGAAAATTATACGGAGGCTAACAGACTGTAGAAGAATACCCAATAGTAATCTCATACTATGGTTGACGTCCCTCCTAACCATGTGTCTTGTATCGAGGAGCATTCCTGGATTAAGACCAAACCATCAAGAGTCGTCGTCCCGATCAAGAGGGTAGAATGCATCATCACTCATGTATAGAGCGAGGTCACTATATAGCTGCACGCGAATAGACTCAGTATTCGGAAGAAGACTTGACAACAATACATGCAATAGAAGAAATAAAAAGCGACTATGAAGAACAGCGTAACATGCTTCAAACTTCATATAGCTGGCGACAAAAATCGGTCCAATTATGTTCAATCATACTTGAATCAATCAGTATATTCTGGCAATCTAGACTAATAGTGGCATCTGGCAGCATAGATGTCCAATATCCCCTGGAATGAAGCATGCAGGGCGATTTAGCAAGGGGTTGCGGTGTGTATATTCCCGCAGTAGCGCAGTCAGATTCGAAATCATGTCGATATATCACAGGAGCAAACATCTATCTTTTCCACAACAAAAAATTTGTTTTGACATCAAGACTTCAGTGTTTCTTGATTTTGCACAGCACACGCAATACTCCACCTAAAACTTAGAGAAGACTTCTATGGACTCTCCAGATCCCGGCGGCCTGCGCGTATCTACCATTGGCTGCTGGATTGGAATGTCAAAACGAGCCGTCGCACCCTGAGCGTCTATCACAGAAAATCAGCGCCAATATCACACAGTGACGAGCGTCCCGCTCGACTGATTCGTCGATGGGGTCTTGTCCCTGAACTCTGAGAATAGCGCACATACCCTGAAGCTGCAGAATCTGGTGTGTACAAGGGTCGAGATAATCTTCTTCGAACCTATCACCATCCGGTATGCAGCTTTGACGCAGCAGTTTCTTCACAAATCTTCAGGCCCCCTGAGGGCTGTGCCATGCTTGAGAGTGTATATACGGTTCTATAGACCCCGGACTCGTCTTTCCTCCAGCGCATGTTAATTTATGATTATCTCCTTGCGTGGTGAAACCGTGAAATTCTACAACCGTCTCACAGATTTTCGAATCGCACATAGGATACAGTGTTAGGAGAGTGAACTCGCCAAGGAGCATCCTCTCGCGATGTATAGAAATATAATCCTCTGCTATTGCGCTTTGTTCAGCCTTCTTCTGGCACGCTCAGCCGCGCAGGATTACACGGAAGTTCAAAATGAAGCCGGAGCATCTGGTCCATCGTCAGAATCAGTGGGCATCTCATCGAAAGGAATGATTGTTCTCTGTACAATCGTTGGCGTGGTTGTGGTCATTGGATGTTTGTTCCCTTCCCTATCCCGATTTGCTCCCTCCACTACATATACTGATGGATTCTCGTCGTGCAGTATCCTCAACAGCTCTCTTCTTCGTTGCCAAAAAGCGCCAGTGGGCGATGCGAGAGACTATTCGTCGTTCTGCGCGACAAGTGGCCCAAGCGATCAAGACGCCTTTGACTTCCAGATTCCCGAAGGTTCCTGAGCAGCTCAGAAGAACCCAGACGAAGGAAGACAAGAAGGAGACAAGGAACCAGAGACTCAATGACTTGGAGAAAGGATTCAAGACTTCGAACTCGAGCAACCGCTCTGTTCTGGTCACCGCCGGCGAACCAGCTCAAGGCGATGAGAAGAAGACCAGAGGTTGGGGATCATTCTTTGCGTTTGATCGCTCGTAAATCAATCTGCGTGAGAGATACTCCCCTGATGCAAGAAGGCGCAGGGTCTTTCTATCGTTAGTTCCTTATATGAGTTTGCTACGTTCTTTCACGTCTCATTTGTCCTTATTCTATGGAGTTAGAGGCGATAGGGATGCGCACCTTTTTAAGATTATGACGATTTCCCTTGTTTATCTATTCGATGTTATGTTAATGCTGTGCTCAGGGCTTCATGGACAGTTTATCCGCAACCATACCCCTGGAGGAAATTCAAACAGGATGAGAGGCTTCACCCAGTCTAATGTCCCTGAGCTATTAAAGTTAGATTGTAGCGTCAGATACTTGTTCAAGGAACTTCTGGGGAGGTATGGATTCTGTGGGCATGATTGAATACGAACCATGGTCACACTCGGTGTCCCCGAAGCTTCTGGAGGAGTGTGCCATGCATCCACTGCTCAGATTGCCTGTGGCAGAGGGAGGTCAACACGGTGAGTGCATCAGTGGAACCAGGACACGTCTCCACTCATGAGCAGATGCTAAGCTTCCGGTCTGAGTGATATAATCAGAGCATGCGGTCAAGGATTGGTTCTTCCCCTTCTGAACGTTCTAGACAATTGCAGCGGGAAGCTTATCCACAAATAACAAGCCATAGCTTCAAACATGTGGCTGTCTCTTCTTGATAAAGGCGAAGGTCAAGCTTAAAAGTCACGGAAATGAGACCCGAGGATAGCGGTCTTGCTAATGCACGTATTTTATGCGGATTACTCGAATCTATCGAATGCTTGATGAGGATGTCGACGGGACCGATGCAGCTTTCATCTTGGCCAGGACCAACACAGATCTGGGTTTCAATGGCTAGATCTAGTCTCTGTTACGCGAATGAGAGTTCCACCAAAGTTCAGGGGCAGGATAGACAGACCAGTATGAATCAAAGACAGAATGAGAGTCCAGAACAGGCACTTGCTGCAATAACCAAGTCATCTGTGCTCAATATTATGACTCAGTCCAGCGTTTGACATCTCCGTCCCATGGTTTCCTTCACGAGGACATTTTCAGTTGTACCATACTTGATGTAGCTCGAACGGACTGCCATACTTACAACTGTAAGTATGCATTTTTCTTGACTGCATGAGGAGAGCTTAAGACGTGGAGCAAAGATGACAGTGAGATTGACAGCGATGTATTCCTAGTCTCAGTGTGTTGGTATTACTCCAACAAGGACGCGACGAGTTTCAGAGTCCAGACCTCATGGATACATATCGCCGTGAGAGAAAAGCTGGTTCGCCATGACCGTGGTTGGTTTGTCGATTTATTGGTGCTGGTCACTGACAAACCGGGGGAAGAACCGACAGAAGATGAACCTTCGAAGGCGCGCCTCTGGCTGCCCTCAACTGACCAGGTACTCAGAGTGGAACTGTGAAGCGATTGGTTTTGCTATTTCAAGGACGGCTGACGACTTTTTGAGTGAGGTACAGACGTTCTTTCCTTGTGTGAACTCTACGACTCCAGGTACTTGGCCATGGAGCTTTCCCCAGCATCCACGAAAGCCCTGTGTTGCTTCTGATACTGCGGTGGTTGCTGCTCTATGTTAAAAGCTAGCTGGTTGTTTGAGGAGCATCTTCAGATCCGCGATTGAATCTCTCGTTTTCCCAACGTAATCCACTTTACGCGTAAGTGAGAATGTCCATATTTCTTCTGACCCTTTTTGCTATCATCGATTCTGATGAGACCTCTTTTTCAAGCCTACCAGCTCCCACGTGTCGAAACCAGTACTGTCGTCCTTCTGACAGCATCGGAATACCATCTTGGACATTGAAATGAAATCAACCTCTGCGTCTGCAGAACGACAAGATGAGAAGCAACAGAATATCGAAATCACAGAAACTACGAACCCCAGAAATACCCCAGACGAGCACAGTCCTAATCCTGAACCACTGCGAGTTCTTAGTCTTGTAAACGACGATGACTCCTCAGCATCAAGCGCCGGAATATCTGTCCTAAAACTTCCAACCCTGAGTCCAGAATCAACAGAGCGAATCTTTCCCATAAGTTCAGTCGTGTCGGTCGATTCCACCGCATCCTCCGCTCCGCAAACACCGGCATTGGAGAATCTCGTGGAGCAAAACTCCCCTTTCGCCGAAAGTCCCCGTTCAATTCTTGCTTCGGGCAGGCAGTCATCAGGCCGGCCGGCTACACCATCGCCAGGGGACCGCAAGGACGCACCCTCGATTCAGAGCACAGTAGAAGCCTCTGGGAGTTCTTTGAACGTGACTACAGGAGGCAGGAAGCGACCTGCCTTAAGAATTGACTTGGCCAGAGGAGCTTCCAACAGATCGTTCGACGATGTGAGTGTGTTTTCCCAGGAGGTCTTTGGACTCGTGGAGCCATCCTCTGCTGAGGCCCAGGACTCCTACTTTGTAGGAGCAGGGTCCTGGGTGGGCCAAGCTGAAGCAGCAATCTGGAAAAAAGACATTGCGGATGCCTCAAACTTCAAGCACATTCATGGTCTTGGTGCACTCATAGTGCTACAGGAATCCAAAGGAAGACTCATCGTCCAGCTTGCGAGCAAGAATACCGAAGAAGTTCTAGGCTACACACCCAAACAGCTTTTTGGGCTAGCGAGCTTCTGCGATATCGTCCAGCATGATCGGAAAAAAGACTTTCTTGGCCGTTTTAACCTTGTTCGAGACAACTGGTATAATGTCGAGCAGCATGGTCCAGATATCCACGAAGTCGATGTTCACCTAAGTTACGGGACAACGAGGCGTCTTTGGTGTACGATGCATGCCACGAAGGCAAACTCCGGTCATATCATATGTGAATTCGAATCGATGCGAGCCGCTCTTGATCATTGGAGAAACTCAGGACCCTCGGCATCGGTGTATGCAGTCTATGACAACACAAGCTCATACGAGAGATCCGATGAGAAGCACAGCACTCCGAATATGCCTGCTGAGATGCAAAACATGCTGAGGGGAATCAGAGGGAATTTCCAGTCTGCGGATATGTTGAGCGCCTTGTCACTTGTTATCCAGCTGGCCGCGAGTACCTCCTCCCTGAGCATGCTTTTCAATTACTTCATTGGCATCATCAGGGAATTGACTGGTTTTAGCCGAGTGACCGTCTTCTATTTCGATTCTGACGGGAATGCGGTTCCTATGAACGATTCCGTTGATTCACGCGTTATTACTAGTTTCCCGGAAGACCTGCATTTCCCAAAACCACTTTCTCCGAGAGACTTGCGAAGATTTCACTTGGGCAACAAAGTTTGCCTCGAATACAGTCATAGGCAGTCACACTCTGAGCTGGTTTATCGTGATTCTGAGAATTTGCCGAGGGAGTTTGATCTAGACCACTGTTACCTGTTGGCGAGATCACCGTACCTTGTGGATCATGTCACTGGAATGCCCGTCTTCGCTTGCATGTCTATCAATATAAATGCCTTTGGACGTGCATGGGGGCTTATAATGTGCCAGTCGTATGAGAAAGAGATGCGATTACCCCCTCCAGTACAAAAGTTCTTTTGGCTAGTTAGCGACACACTTTCAAGCAATATTGAACGTCTTTCACAGAAGATGACTGCCCAGATGCAGGGTCCTTTCAGTCCTTCGATTGGTGACGGAAATGAGAAAGGCGATAGTTTTCAGGTGAAAGACTTACTGAGCTTGTTCAAGGCGGATTATGCTGCATCCTCGATGTTGAGTGAAACTAAAATCCTTGGAAAGCCTCACGATGCGCAAGAAGTGCTCGCTTTGGTGGAATACTTGAAACTGAAGAAACTCGGCACTGTCTTGTGTTCAACGGACATGGGTAGAGATTTTCCAGACCTCAACTATACTCCTGGTTTCAAGTATTTATCCAACCTGCTGTATGTGCCCTTGTCAACGGACGGTCGAGAGTTTATCGTTTTCTTCAAGGCGTCACAATGTGGAGACGCTCTTCGTGCTGGGACTGATGACAATGCTCGATGCCTGGACCAAGGACAGCCGACAGACCGTGGCTCAGAGGCGAAGGTGGTTGATCGCGGGTCCGGTGTATGGAATGCAGGAGACTTACAGAAGGGCTCCTTTCTGTCCCTGATATACAGTGCGATGCTGAAGGAGGTGTGGCAGCAAAAGGAAACAACAATGCAAAGTACCCAGCTTATGCGATTACTTTTGGCAAACTGTGCTCACGAGTTTCGAACGCCGTTGAATGCAATCATCAACTACCTCGAGATTGCATTGGATGGAGATCTCAATCAAGAGACTCGCGAGAGTCTTTCCAGATCGCATTCCGCTTCAAAGTCCCTCATTTATATAATCAACGATCTCTTGGACCTCACAAATGCGGAGAACGGTATCAGCTTGATCAAGGACGAGATTTTCGATCTCGTGGAGACCATCCATGAAGCTTCACGCATTTTCTGTGAAGAAGCAAGGCAGAAGGGTGTTGAGCTTCATGTTGTACAATACTCTGATATTCCTTCTGTACTGGGAGACCAGCGGCGAGTACGACAGGTTATCACGAACCTCATCAGCAATGCTGTTCAGCATACGTCTTCGTCTGGAACCGTGACTGTCGAATCATGCTTGTTGCCTGATTATACCGAGACTGGGAAACTTGGAATTGAAGTAGCCATTCACGACACAGGAACTGGCATGTCTCAGAACGATATTGTTGCTCTTTTCTGTGAATTGGAGCAAGTTTCGAATGCAGATTATATAAGAAGTCGAAGTCCGCAACGCTGCGACAACGCCATAACGAGTGGAAGTAGCGGCTCGAGGAACATACTCGGGCTGGGTTTAGCCCTAGTCGCTCGCATAGTTCGCAATATGAACGGTCAGCTCAGCGTGAAATCAGAGGAAGGCCAGGGGAGTTGCTTCAGGATCAAAATGCAGTTCCCATTACCGATCGATGAGTCCAATGAAGAGAAACCTGATTCGAGCAGAGCGTCGTCGGTTGAGAAAGGAAAAGGAAGGCAAAGTGGAGCCGGGGACCACCAAAACGAGCCTCCCAAGCAAGATGGAACAGACTATGGCCAAGAAGACCAAGCTCGGACAGGGAAGAATACTGGATCCTCAGAGTGTACAGATTTCACGAAACATGAGAGCCATGCATCAGGCGACACAGTCACAGCGGGTCCTGCTCAACATGACTCTGCCTCGAAGCAAGAAGACTCCAGTGGCGGAAAAGGGCAGATAGAGGAAAAGAGCCCAGGCATCATACATCCTGACATAAGGACAGAGCCTTCGTCTACCGAGGAGGAAGGGCAAGCTGATCGACCGCAACCTGGGTCCGCGGAGCAATCTACCAGAGCTTTAGCCGATGAACTGACCAAGTCAGTGGAGGGAACAGCGGCCGGATCCTCAGAAAGGATGGCACAGCCAAGTCAAACCAAAGCCCAAAATCAGTCCGATGTCCCACGCAACGAGGTTGCGACTACTGCCTCTGAGGGCTCTTCCAGAAAGAATCTCCACATCTTGGTAGCCGAGGACGATCCGACAAACAGTGCAATCTTACGCAAAAGACTGGAAAAGTCGGGTCATACCGTTCATATGACTGAGAATGGAAAGGAATGTGCTTCTGCATTCCGTGACAATGCGCACTCGTTCGATGCCGTCCTGATGGATATACAGGTCAGTCACAGAAATCCTGTGTAGGTAACAATCGTGAGCTAACCTGTCTAGCAGATGCCGATCGTGGATGGCATGGGATCAACCAAGATGATACGAGAATGTGAAGAACTGGCAACCTCTTCGATTTCTGCTTCAGCGACCTGTCAGACTCAGCGGATTCCGATATTCGCTGTCTCGGCATCTCTGGTGGAGAAGGACCGTCAAACATATATCGACACAGGATTCGACGGGTGGATCATGAAACCGATTGATTTCAAACGAGTTGCCCATCTTCTGGATGGAGTGCACAAGGAAGAGGCCCGTGAGGACAGTCTCTACAAGCCTGGCATGTGGGAGAAGGGAGGCTGGTTCGACAAGGGAGGTGAGAGCTAAGAATGCTTTCGTGAAGATGAGAGTTATTTCGGTATGAGAACATGGCTCAACTATAGAGGCGGGCGCTTTATACCCCTCAAAGTATAGAGGTAGCATAGATTATAGAGTAGGACTCTGACGATGCCACAGTTGTCGTTATAGTTCATAGATACATAAACAGTTCCTATCAAATGGGGTTATTCAGAACAAAATTGTCCAGTAAGGAGAGCCGTAGGAGGCATACCATCAACACAGCAAAGACTTCAACTATATGCGCCATCTATGCATGTATATGTGCATGCTATGTACTTAAACCGACATGAATAAGATGCACAACGCCGACAAGATGCTGATTCTATCCAAGTGAGAGAAAACACAAACCAAGACCACAAAACCAATCTTACAATTCACAAGCTGATCAGTAGTACTCCGGCAAGTCCCCAAAATCCGGCACTGCATCCCCACACTTGAACGACGGCGCATACGCCTTGGCCGGCATGAAGCCGTTCTTCCAGGCGGTCCTGTAGCTCCACTGCGCCGCAGACTCCGTGCGCCAGGTCCAGTAGAACCAGCCCTGCGCGGTCTCGAACGCGGACATCTGCGCCTCTGCGTATGTCTGCAGGAACTTCTTGTACTCGGCCGAGTACTCGGTGTAATCTGCGTTGGCGTTGGCGCAGCTGCAGCGGGGCCCAGTGTCGGCGGTGGGACAGTATTGTGTTGAGTCTGTAAGGGAGAAGGTTCCTTCCCAGCGGGTGCCGCGGCCGACGTTGTTGAGGTATTGGGCGCAGTCGGTGTCGGCTTGGGACCATTCGCCGCAGATGGTTGGGCCCCAGCTATAGAAAAGGGTCAGTATGGTGAGATTAGAAGATGAGGGTGAGACTGCAGAAAGGAAGACAGACCCTGTGCTTGTGGAGTTGATCTCTTTGATCATGTTGTACCAGTCGTTGCAGACTAGGTTGACTCTCGCCGTATGGTTGAGGACTATCTGCCCCGTATTGAAAATGGTGTATTGGTGCGTGTCTAGTAACATCTTGTCGGGACGGTCCTTGAGCATGCTCTTCCACTTACTCAGGTTCAGGAAGCCATCATGGAGAGCGACGTAGGCCGTGATGCCGTTCTTCTGCACGAGCTTCGTGGCCTCGGTCGTCCAGTTGAGGACATCCTCGACTGAGAGCGAAAGCATCAGTGGCTCGTTCACAAGCCCGTAGATCGTGACGACATTCTTGTATCGGTCCTGCGCGAAGAATTTGGACACGCTGTCGTGGAAAGCGAGAGACCGGTTGCGGTTGAGCTCGCCATCTGTTCCATTGAGCCAGCCAATGGCGCCCTGGCGACCGCTGTGGTTCCATCCGTTCTGACTTCCCGGGATCCCGTGCGGATCGAGCTTGACTCGGAGTCCGTATTTTCTGCAGTACTCAATTGCTCGGAGGAGGTATCGCCACGATGTCTTTGCGACATAAGGGTCGTCATCATAGGTTGTCACCGCCCAGTAGGAATACTGGATGCGGACGTGGTCGAGGCCGGCATCTCGGATGTCCGCAAAATCTTGTTCAGTGATGAATGTAGCGTAGTGTTTCTCAATTGCCGAGGCCGCGGAGCTGCCGAGTTTCTTGGACAAGGTCCATTCATCGATGATCCCTGCGATCGAGGAGTAAGAATCGAAGAATGAAGGAACGATGAACGGTTCGATTGATAGCCAGCCTCCCAGATTAACGCCGCGAATCGGCTGCGACCCATACGGGAATGGTTCGTTCAAAGGAGGAACATTCTCGTTCGGTCTAGCTGAGTCGTCCCAGGTCGAGTTCAAGCCCATGATAGGAAGACCACCAACCGTCTCATTTGTGAACGTGACATTGAAGTCAGTCGTGTCGTACCATGTCCACGGATCCAGATAGGTCCCCTGGGCGTAAGCCTAGTATACTGTTAGCGGAGGACTCAATGAGCAAGTGCGCTTGATTAAACGTACTGGAATGCTGTCATGGCTCAATCCGTCCAGATTCGAGTTAGCAGGCGTAGTTCCTTGTGGATCTGCCGGTTCCGACTTCTTGTCATGTTTTTTGGACACAACGACGGCGACGGGAATTACAATAACCAGTATCAGGATCACAGCGCCCAAGCCAATCCATCTCTTTCGCTTCCAGAATGGCCGTGCGTCGCCCGCATCGTCCATATCGCCTTCCCCGTTACCTTCTTTCCTCCATCTGGCTTCCATTGTTGGGCCACCACCTCCACGATGCCGGACTTCCATCTCGGGGCTCCGCCCTTCTTCAAGGTACGCCCCAGATGCGACCCTCGCCTTTGTCCGATCTCTGTGAGACTCGCCAGGCACGTCACGCAAGGCGCGCTCTCCTTCGCCCACAACTGCTCTCTTCTTCTGACGTTTCCTCTCCGCCTTGGCGGCGTCCTTCGCATAGTCGCGCTCCCGACGATCCTCTTTCTCATACTGAGCCCCGAGCCTGGCCAACGCATCCGCGCTCAGCAAATGCGACGCACTATTGGTCGAATCACTGCTCTGATGCTTCCTCGCCGCCGCCTCACGCCCCGCTTCTCTCCGTCTAGATCTCCGCGCCTCAGTATCCGGCTCCCGACGTCTCTCCTGGCGGCCCTCTCTCGTCCGGTGTCGGCCATCATCCTCATACACCCTGCGCCTGCTCTGCGCCTCCCGATCCCTGTTGCGATGCCGCTCGCTTCTCCGCGGGGCCTCCCTCGCTCGAGACCGTTCCCCTCGTCGCGCATCATGCTCTCCACCATATGATCTACTCGCTCGCGGTCGCGGGCTCCGCTCATCGCCCAGCAATTCCTCGTCAACCGCCCCCTCCGCATCGCGCTCGTAGTACCCGCGCGTCCGCGACTCGCGCCGAGGGCGACGGTACCCGTCCCGTCTGTATCGGCGTTCGTCAATGTCGTGATCGAATTCGTCATCGTCATAATCGTCGTCGTTGTCGTCAGTTGCGTAGCGCCGTCGGGCGTAGTCGTAGTCATACCTTGCTTCCCGCTCGCTGTCGCGACCGCCGTAGCGGTCTCGACTTCGAGAGTGACTTGGCATGCAAGTTTATTCGGTGGATTGGAATGTTCGGCGGGGTGGATGTCAAATGATCGGTATGTGCGAACTGCAGCGGCCTTGGTTTGTTTTTGCCCGCTGTCGGACTCGCTGGGACCCCTAGAGGGATGTGTCGGCGCAGATATGGTTCGTAGATATAATTGAAAATTACTTTCGTGCAGCAGCGTGCACAAGTCATTAATCATGAACGTGCGACATGAGCGCAATCGAGCCGATCGAAATAGCGAGGACTGCCTGCTATCAAAACAAGACAGGAAAAGCACACGCGTCGCAACCCAAGGCTCGCGCGGAAAGGGAAGCGATCTAGCGCAAGGTGCGACGCGGCGATTTTTTGAGCTCCTTAATCCCAGACACACATATAAGCATTGTATTGAGATTCCAAAAGTCTCAATTCTCGATATCAAAAACGAATGAAAGCTAAGAACGATCGTAGAGGCTAGCCCCTGGCTGCTGAGCCTGGTGAAGGTGGGATGCCCTGGCTATGTGTGACGAGCACGCCAGTTGCGGAGCAACCAGGGCGGTGACGGTCAAGATAGGATCGAGAATACTGGCTACTCTCAACATCATAGCCTTTAATGCAACATCGATTGTGTCTTGAATGAAGGAAGCAGAGAGAGACTCGATCGAAGAGAACTGCTTTGGTCGTTCTAGCCTCGAGAATCGAGATAGATGGTAAGCACGAGACGCCACACGTGGTTTCCGGAGTTTGAGGACATGGATGTTGGACTGTGTGATACCTGGTCCTTTGTGGGGAGTCCGATCGTATATCCATTGGCAATGGTGGTGAAGACAACAGACCAAGAGAGAAGATGCAGTGGTATAAGTATCTATCTAGCTACATCAATCTGATACTGAACAGAATGCCTCGCGTGACCACTTTCTGACACCTGTCAAAAGAGGTATGTGAACGCCATATACCAAGATGAAACAAATGACTGTGGAGAGGAAGAGTAGGAAAAAGAACCAGTCGAATGTACATGGACAATGAATAGTGGAATACCAAATGAAGAAGATCCATGGAATATGAAAGCCATGTCATATCTGCCACCTCCGTCTGTACAACTCCGGGTTCACCCAACTTAAGAAATGGAACGACATGAAAGAATGCGATGATATTATGCCTTCGCTGACTTCAGGGGAATCAATAAAGGAGACAAAATTATAAGAGGGAATTTTCCGCAGCATAAAGCTGCCTGTAACAAAATATTGCGAATCGGGTGTGTCTGTCGCGCAACCAGAGACTGCATCAGCTTTTCGGAGAGTGGCCATCCATTGGGCGGCCTTCATAACTGACGTGTCGAGTAGGCAAGGTAAAAAAAATTAACGAAGGGTAAGCCTCGAGTGTGTGTACTGATACCCGGAGCAGGACAATGGAGTGCCGTCGCTCACTTTGTCACATCCCTCGGATCGACTCGTAGGTTGCACCGCATCTATCGTGGAGTTTCCATGTGTGCCTCCGAAGGCCACAAGAGGCAGAATGCATAAAGGACCAGCCCATTGGTGCAATGTGTCAGTAGATTTTTTCTTTTTTGTCTTTTTTTCATTTGTTATGTGGCTGGAGATTTTTGATGTTCGATCCGCCACCACTGGGAGCATGGTTTTCCAACAGGAGGATTGAAAGATGATTATCCAGGACCTCCTGCCCTGAGCCTGGGGCCTATCCGGCCTTGGTTGTGAAACCATGTATCAACTGATAATTTGTCGCGCTCCTTCCTTACCCAAGACGCCAGGTTCCTGAGGTTTCGGGCTTCTGTCACGCCCCTTCTTGCGGCTCAAGAATGCGAGCATACCACTATTGGAGGACTTTCCCTTGACTGAGGCACTGTCGTATCCCTCGGCCGGAAGAGTAGAACTGTGGTCGGCGAGCTCAGTCCAACTGCCCGCTTCCTCCAAGACCATCTGAACACCTCCGCCCTTACTTGTCTTGCGGGTGGCTCCTCGTGGACGATTGGGGCCAGGA